CCCCCCTCCTCGCCGCGCGCCCCTCGGAGGCTCCGAGCGCGGGCGGTGTTCAGCTCGTTCTCGTCCTTCGCCCCCCCGATGCCCCACTGCCGCAGAGCTGGCGACGCGCTGTCCAGCGCGCCGCCCACTCCCTCCCTCGCAGCGATGGGCCATGCGCCAGGAGGGGCCCCCCGCCCCGCTGCAGGCGTCCACGATCGAGGAGATCCGACGGCTGATGCGCTCGAACACTGCAAGGCTTGCATATTCAGCTGGTCGAACGCCCCTTCCGACGTACACTACCTCGATCAGATTACGAAGCTCGCGATACACCCTGTCGCTCTTCTCACTCCGACGATCCCTGCTGAAGTCTGCCAGCCGCATCTTGGGGTTGCCCCCGTTCCGAGCCGTCTAGTTCATCCAGCGCAGCAGCGACGCCGGCCCCTCAACAGGCCCATCACTCCAGCTCTCGGCCCAAGACTCCAGACACACCTGTCGCCACTCCTTAAACCTCTCGCCACGAGGATCATAGTCCACCCACAGGGTGCGACACTCGTCAGGCGCCTGCCCAGTGCCAACCTCGCGAGGCGTGTCCGTGCCCCTGCCGCCCGTCTCCACTTCGACCACCGCCGTCGGCCTGACCGATGCTTAAACCTGATCGAGCAGCTGGCGCACGCTTGAGTCGGCCTCCGACCGCTTGATCAGGATGCATTTCACGAAGAGCCCGCCATCGCACTGCTTCATCATCGTCTGCTCGCTCACACCGACGTCGACGCCCTCGACTGGCTCAACCTCGAAGCCCACTGCGTCGGGCCCCTCGAAGCCGCGCACGATCCAGCAAGAGCCAGGCGGCGCCCGCCTGAAGGGGCGAACGACGGCCCCCGTGGCGCCACCAGCAGGCTCCAACGGCACTAGCGCAGCATCCATGTCCCTGAGCGCGCCAGCCGGCAGCGCCACCACGCTCCCCGTGCTGTCCACGAAGTCTGCGGGCGGCGGCTGCGGGGTGCCCGCGTGCGCCTGCGCGCGGATGTGCTCGACGGCCTTCCTCACCAGCTCGTCCGCGGGGTACTCCGCAAACCTGTGGAACTTGCCCCGCAGCAGACGGGGAGGCGAGCCGTCGAGCCCGACCATGCAGAGCCGATGTGGCCCTGGCTGGCTGCCGTCCAGCGCCTCCTCGTACTCGTCGCCGTCGGGGCTCATCGCGCGCCAGCTTCAGCCCGGCAGCGCCCCGAGCTCCTCAGCGCTCGACCCGATCAGCAGCTGCTCGTGCCACAGCGGATTCCCCTCGTACTTCACGGCCACCAGCTGACCAGGCCTGAGCCTAGGCAATGTGGCCTCGTCGGCGCCGACGCCGCCTGCTTCCGTCACTAGGCGAGCACTCCTCGGGAGCAGCGCCATCGCGACGGCGCCTCTGCCACCGGCCGCGCAGCTGCAGCCCGAACGACACCCAGCCCAGCGCCCAGCCTAACGACTGGATTGCTGGCGACTCGCACTCCGGACACTCGCACACGCACTCCGCCTGCGCAGCCTGCGAGCCAATCTCCCGTGGCTCGGGCTCGCTGGAGGACACTCGCACACACACTCCGCCGGCGCGGCCTGCGAGCCGGTCTCCCGCGGCTCGGGCTCGCTGGAGCTCCCACCGCCAGGTGGGGGCCACGGCCCGCCGCCCCGGCAGGCCCCGAGCTCGCTGACCGTGTCCGCCACGATCTCGCGCACACTCGGGCCCTCGGGCGCAGGCGGCGCGGGCCGCTTGGCCTCGGGCGCCAGCCGCCGCACCTCAGGCAGGCCCGCTAGAAGCACGAGCACGGCCCACTGCCAATGGGCCGAACTCGGGCTGAGCATCCAACGGCCGGCCTCCCCGCTCCCCAGTTGATCTCGGGAGCCAAAGGCTATGTCAGGAGACAGGGGGAGCGACAGGACGTGGTCAACAAACATTTCTGCGCACGCGCTCCCATTCCTTCTTGGTTTTTGAAGGATTTGGGCATTTGCTCCTATTCAGCTTTCCGACGACCCAAGACGGCCCAAGAGGCCCCCAAGATCACCCCAACAGCGCCCAAGAGGCCTCCAAAATGGCCTCAGGACTGCCCTAGAAGCCCGCAAGACGGCCCCAAGAGGGCACAAAGACGACCCAAGAGGCCTCCTAGACGCCCAAGATGGCCTCCAAGACAAGTCCTCCAGGAGGGCCCGAAGAGGCCAAAATCATTTATTTTTTCTGAGGTGTTGAAGGATGTTCGATTTCGCTGCTTCTCGGCTTTCCGACGACCCAAGACGGCCCACAAAGCCCCCAAGATCGCCCCCACAGGACTCAAGAGGCCTCCAAGATGGACGCAGGACTACCCCCAAGACGGCCCCAAGAGGGCACAAAGACGACCCAAGAGGCCTCCAAGACGCCCACGATGGCCTCTAAGACGGCCCTGGAGCACCCCAAGAGGGCCCCAAGTCGGCCCAGAAAGGCCCCCCAAACGGCTTCCGACGGCGTCAGACGGGCCAGGAGCCCACCAAGATGGCCGAAGTTGGCTCGAAGCTGACCCCAGACGGCCCAAGCGAGCTCCAAGAGGCCCTCCAGGAAGGCCAGAAAACCCCAAAAACAGATGTTGCCTAGGTTTTCGGAGGATTGACATGTGCTTCGTTTCGACCTTCTGACGGCCCGATACGGCCCAAGAGCCCCCAAAGATCGCCCAAGAGGCCTCCAAGACGGCCCCAGAATAGCCCAAGTGGCCCCCAAGACGGCCCCAAGAGGCCTCCAAGACGGCCGAAGACGGCCCTGGAGCATTCCAAGAAGGCCCCAAGTCGGCCCAGCGAGGCCCCCCAAACGGCTTCCGACGGCGTCGGACGGGCCAGGGGCCCACCAAGACGACCGAAGATGGCACTAAGATGGCCCCAGACGGCCCAAGAGGCCTCCAAGAGGGCCTCCAGGAAGGCCCGACAAGGCCAAAATCATTGATGTCCCATGAGTTTTTGAAGGATTGTGGCATTTGCTCTTTTTCGGCCTTCCGACGGCCCGAGACGGCCCAAGTACCCCCAAAAATCGCCCAAGAGGCCCAAGACGGCCCCAAGAGGCCCCCAAGACGGCCGAAGAGGCCTCCAAGACGATCAAGATGGCCTCCAAGACGGCCCAAGAGCGCTCGAAGACGTCCTCCAAGAAGGCCCGAAAGGGTCAAAATGGCCTCCAGGCGGCCAAGATGACCTTCAATATGCCCACGTGTTCCCCGAAGGCTTTTCAAACCGATTCGGGGAACACATGGTCCGATAGCTTGGCAGGTCTGGCCTCAACGTTCGGCCACATAGGCGCTTCCACAAAGGCAGGGGGCGGCGGTGATTCGCCGTAGGCGTCTTCGATCCGCCGCCCCTTGTTGGCTTGCCACAGGGGTGCCTGGCGTGCTAGATTATTTCGGTTTTGGTTTTGGTTCTTTTTCCTAAATAACTCCCCCTGGCGCTTCGGCCCGTCCCGCCGGCCACCCGAAAATTCCCCAATCCCGGAAAAAATCCGCCAAGACGGCTCAAGATGGCCTCCAAGATGGCCACGTTGGCCCAAGATGGCCTCCAAGATGGGCTCCAAGTTCGCACAAGATGGTCCAAGACGACCTCCAAGACGGCCCAAGAGAATCCAAGATACCTCCAAGTTCGCCCAAGAAGCCTCCAAGACGGCCCAAGAGGCCTCCAAGAGGGCCTCCAGGAAGGCCCGAAGAGGCCAAAATCATTGATTTCCTATAGAAGGATTTGTGCATTTGCTTCTTCTGGGCATTCCGGCGGCTCAAGACGACCCAAGAGGCCCCCAAGATCGCCCCAAGATCTCCCCAAAAGGCCTCCAAGAAGGCTCCTTCACGGCCCAAGAAGGCCCCCAAGACGGCCCCAAGAGGGCACAAAGACGACCCAAGAGGCCTCCAAGACGCCCACGATGGCCTCTAAGACGGCCCTGGAGCACCCCAAGAGGGCCCCAAGTCGGCCCAGAAAGGCCCCCCAAACGGCTTCCGACGGCGTCGGACGGGCCAGGAGCCCACCAAGATGGCCGAAGTTGGCTCGAAGCTGGCACCAGACGGCCCAAGACGCTTCCAGGAGGGCCTCCAGGAAGGCCAGAAAAGGCCCAAAAACACTGATGTTGCTTAGGTTTTGGAAGGATGTTGACATGTGCTTCGTTTCGGTCTTCGGACGGCCCGGCACGGCCCCAGAGCCCCCCAAGATCGCCCGAGAGGCCTCCAAGATGCCCCCAGAACAGCCCAAGAGGCCCCCAAGACGGCCCCAAGAGGCCCCCAAGACGGCCCCAAGGCCTGCAAGACGCCCACGCTGGCCTCCTAGACGGCCCTGGAGCACCCCAAGAGGGCCCCAAGTCGGCTCAGAGAGGCCCCCCAAACGGCTTCCGACGGCGTCGGACGGGCCAGGGGCCCACCAAGACGGCCGAAGATGGCACTAAGATGGCCCAAGATGATCCGAGAGGCCTCCAAGAGGGCCTCCAGGAAGGCCCGACAAGGCCCAAATCATTGATTTCCCACGTGTTTTTGAAGGATTGTGACATTTGCTCTTTTTCGGCCTCCGACGGCCCGAGACGGCCCAAATGCCCCCAAAGATCGCCCAAGAGGCCCAAGACGGCTACAAGAGGCCCCCAAGACGGCCGAAGAGGCCTCCAAGACGCTCAAGATGGCCTCCAAGACGGCCCAAGAGCGCTCCAAAACGTCCTCCAAGAAGGCCCGAAAGGGTCAAAATGGCCTCCAGGCGGCCAAGATGACCTTCAATATGCCCACGTGTTCCCCGAAGGCTTTCCAAACCGATTCGGGGAACACATGGTCCGATAGCTTGGCAGGCCTGGCCTCAACGTTCGGCCACATGGGCGCTTCCACAAAGGCAGGGGGCGGCGGTGATTCGCCGTAGGCGTCTTCGATATCGCCAATGTTTCAATATGCGCTGATGATTCATATCCGCCCCCGCATGATGTTCCCAGATGCGCCAAGGCAGTGCCGAGACGCACCGACGCGACTCTGACATACCCCATTATCATAGAGAGCGGGCCGGCGGCAGGGGGGCGAAGCCCTTACGGATATTAATGATTGTGAGCAGCTGTCTGAATGGATGGTTTGAGCGGCAGTCGCCCGTTTGCGCTGGCGGACTGCGCCGCGGCCTGTACTCGAGAACGATCTTGAGCCAGAATGGCTACGGAGGGCCTCTTGGGGGCTCCTCGGGGCTCCTTGGAACCTCCTGGGATTTTTTGAAGGCGTCTCTGGGCCTCCTGGTGGCCTCTTGGAGGCGTGAGCAGCCCAGCGGAGGCGGAAAGGCGGGAAGGCCAAGATCATAGATTTCCCCTTGGGATCTTGAAGGTTTTGAACTTCTCGGATGCGTTCTGGACGGTCTACCTGGAGATCTACAGGGCTGTCCGGAGCGTCCCTGGAGGCGTCTTCAGGCTCGTGGTGACCGTGAGAGGCCCCGGGAGGCCGTCTTGGGGTTGGCTCCGTGCTGTCGCGGGCCGCCTGGACGGCCCTCTGATAACTCGGCGGTGGACAAACCTCCCTTCAGCAAACCTCCCCTTAGTGAGAACGGCCTAAGACCGAAACCGACGGACCTGGACCCGCAAAAACGACGGCCACGACGCCCTCTCGCGAACCGAAAACGGCCAATTCCCTAATCGACGTGTCAGGGTAGGAGGTCTGTCCACCCCCGAACCCCGAATAACGTGCCCTGACGCTCTGGGGCGGCCCAAAGGTCCCAGGCCCTACCAGGGCCCTGGAACGTATCTACGCGACCGCGTATCTGCGGCATCGCGCCCTGGAATCCAGACCGCGAGGGCGTGGATGTGGATACGTTCGCCGCTCGTACATGCTGTCAGTGTGTTGCAGGTCTGGGCCCCTTCGAGCTTCTCAGCTCGGGAAATCTCTCCTTGGAGGGGGCAGGGGGGTATGAACTGGTTGGGACCCCAGGATGTCGGCCAGGAGAGGGGATGAGGCCGAATCCTCTGAAAAATCGGCCCCTGGACCTCCATCTGGTGGCCCCCGGAAGGCCAAGACGGGCAACGACAACATTCTCGAACCCGGAACCTCGAACCTCGCCCCCCCCCCCCTGTCCTGCTTGCCAGAACCAGTGCTGAGCCACCCCAGAGTCGAAGAGGGGGACGTCCAAGGGGGGGTGCGCAAAACATGGCCCGAGGCATGTACTCAGACGAGGGGGGGGGAAAGGGGAACGTCTTCAAAGAATCATGGGGGGCCATGGGATCTGGAAGGGACCATAGCCCCAGGACGAGGATAAAATCGGGGGAGGACAAGGACGAGGATTAGAATCGGGTGAGGATAGATCGAGAATCTCTCAGATCCGGCGGCTCTGAAGGATGTCTCGGGCGCCGCGGCCTTCTCAGAGCGTTCCAGAACGCTCTGAGAGCGTTCCAGAACGCTCTGAGAACAGATCTATCCTCGCCCTAGCCCCATGAAGACATCCTGCATCAGCTTGCTGATGCTCATGAACAGCTCCTCGATCGGAGATCCGCCACCGTGCCGCTGGGCACGGAGTGGGCGTGTCCTCGGCTACGTCGCCCAATCCCCTGAGCCTCAGTCCTCAGTCATGAGGGTTTAAGGGTCCTGGGCCCAAAATTCCGAAATCTACCAGGGCTTCTCGCGTGCAAGATGGCCCCCAGACGGCCCATGAGGCCTCCAAGGCGCCCCAAAAGGCCTCCAAGAAGCCTCCGAATTGGGCCACAAGAGGCCAAAATCATTGATTCCCCTGGGTGTTTGAGAGTTTGTGGCTTTCGCGCCTTTGTGGCTTCCCGGCGCTCCCAGACGGCCCTAGAGGACCCCATGACCGCCCCAAGACGGCCCACGACGCCTCCAAGGGGGCCCCCAAACGGCCTAAGCGGATCCTAACATGGCCCAAGAGGCGCCCAAGACGGCCCAAGAGGCCCCAAAGACAGCTCCAAGAGCGGGCCCAGATGGGGGACCCGAACAGACACTTCGAGCCCTCGGCCCCTGAGGGGCCCCCAGGAGGCCCCAAGAGGCCCCCAAGAGGCCTCCATGAGGCCCCCAAGAGGCCCCCAAGAGGCCCCCAAGAAGCTCCCAAGAGCTTCCAAAAGACCCTAAAACTGCCCCCAAGAGGCCCCCGAAAGCGTTCCGAAGAGACTCCAAGAAGCAGCCCTGAGAACTCTGATCCACAACCCAAGCACGGTGGCGGGATGGGCCGAAGGCCATTACATCGTCCAGGGTCGCGGGTCGAGAATCGTGGTCGAGGATCGTGGCTCGATTTTTGAGGGGTTGTCGTCGACATCCTGCCTCCTGCCCCGTCCGAATCACCCCTCTCTTGGCAACCCCCGAGAACCTTGGGGGTCCCAAAACCGTTAAGTGACAGACCCAGCGGTGACCTCGAAATCCGCAAAGACCTCACCGCAGGGTCCGTCACCCCCACGGTTAGGTCGGGCGTGTCCCCCTACAGGCGGATTTTGAACGAACACTTTCAAATCGACCAAGAATATTCCACAATAATCAGAAAACATAGATATATATATATATATATATAGATTAGAAAAATCGTTCACCGACTATTGTTTTACTATTTTGGCACATTCCCCCTGTAGGGAGACATGCCCGATTTAACCCCACGGTCTTGGGACCTCAGAGGCCCCCGTCGCCCGAGACAACCTCGGAAAACGACCCAGTCCCGAAACCGTGCGGTGACCCCAAACCTCCTCCTCCTCCTCCTCCTCCTCCTCCTCCTCCTGCTCCTCCTCCTCCTCCTCCTCCCCCACAGCCTCACCGCCCTAACACGGTGTGGTCACCACACCCCGTTTGGGGGCCCCCGAGAAGCCCATCGGGGGCGGCCAAGAGGGGGGCGTCCAAGAGGGGTAGGGGGCAAATCATGGCCGGCGGCATGTGCGCGGCCCCAGGGGGGGCCAGGGAGGTGATGAAATAAGCAGAGGCGCCATGAAATATGAGGAAACATCATGGCCCACGCCATGATATCCACCCCCCCCAGTCATCACCCCCCTCTTGGCCGCCCCCCCAGGCCCAGGGGCCCCCTCTGGCTCCCCGCCGCGCCTCCGGGACTCCGGACTCGTCCCGCACGACCATCAGGTCCTGCCAGGGCGGTTCCCCGGCCGCCCGCCGCCCGGGGAGGGCCGCGCCCAACGCGGGGGGGGGGCGATGGTGGCGGCGGCGGCGACGACGGCGGCGACGGCGACGGCGATGGCGACGACGAAGTCGGTGACGACGGCGAAGACGACGACGAAGACGGTGACGACGGCGAAGGTGGCGGCGGTGGCGACGACGACGAGGGCAGCGGCGGCGACGGCGCTGGGCCTGAAGATGAGCGACGATGGCGATGACGAAGATCGGTCTCAAACATCTCGTGCTATGCCTTCGGTGTCGGCACGCTGCCCGGCGAGCCACCTTCACGCGCACCGTGGATCACCAAACATGAAAACGAGCTCTGGCGAACTAGTGCCCGACTTGGGGGGCAGCCGCCCTGTGGAGGCGAGACGGCACGGCCCTCCCAGCTTTTCGGCGGGAAGTTCGGACGTGGCCACAGTGCATCCCGCGGCCCTCACAAAACAGGACCCCCTCAGGGAACCCAAGCGATGCGGGTGGTGGTCATGAAGACGATCGAGCGATAGAGCGTCGAGGAGGATCGGCGATCGAGGTATTGGACGTCTCCACCCCCACGTGAGCCTCCAGAGGCCTCTCGAGGTCTCGGGTGATATCTGGGGACCTCTGGTGACGGGTGATATTACAAGGCGGCGGCAGGGTGATGTTGGTCGATAGCGACGTTATGGCGAGATGATCATGGTCGGTGGCGTGGTGATAACGATGATGACGTGGACGTAGTGGCAGGGTGATGATGGTTGGTGGCGCGTTGATGACAAGTCTCCTGATGATGCTCTTGCCTGCTGTAAGAGAGGGTGGCGCTCCAACAGTCGCCAAACTGACTAGATAACCTCGCGCGCGCAAAAGGCTCCCCAAATCGCCATCGAATCCCCTGTCTTAGTCAGCATCCACCTGCCACGATCAAATGCCGACTCCAACCGATGCATACTCCCATAAGAGCCGTGCATCCCTGCCGTCCCCCTCACGCTGCTCCTCGAGGGCGTGACCATCATCATTCCACAGAAGAACTTCTGCCAACAACAACTCTGGGAGATTGTGAACATTTACCGCGATTGCACAGTCTCGGCGCATCCGCCGAAGACATGTTCGACTACGCTCAATTGCTTCACCAACCTCATCCTTGTTGCTTCTTCCTTCTCCGTCCTCGTCCTCGTCATGATCTCATCCTAACGATCACTGTCCTCCTCCTCATCGTACTCCCTCCTTGCCCCTCGGCCGAAACGAGGTGGTGGGGGACGCTTCGTCTTTTGTCCGCAGCAGCACGTGTCTTGAACCTGGGAGCAGTGTCTAGCTGCTCTGCCAACGTAAGAAGCGGGTGCGCACGCTGGCTGAGGGAGTTGCAAGACAGCGCTCCTCCTCCTACCTCTTCCCTCCTTCTCCTCCTCCTCCTCCTCCTCCCTCTTCTCCTCCTCCTCCCCTCCTCCCTCATAGAACCCCTCCCTCCTCCCTCTCCCCCTCCCCTCCTCGACCTCCTCGTCCCCTTCCTTCTCCTCCTCCACCTCCTCCTCCTCATCCACCTCCTCCACCTCCACCTCCTCCTCGTCCTCCTCCTCCTTTCTCCTCCTCCTCCTCCTCCTCCTCCTCCTCATGCTCATCATCATCATCATCATCATCATCATCATCATCATCATCATCATCATCATCATCATCATCATCATCATCATCATCATCATCATCATCATCATCATCATCATCATCATCATCATCATCATCATCATCATCATCATCATCATCATCATCATCTTCATCATCATCATCATCATCATCATCATCATCATCATCATCATCATCATCATCATCATCATCATCATCATCATCATCATCATCATCATCACCACCATCATCATTCATCAGCATCATCATTATCATCATCATCATCAGCATCAACATCATCATCATCATCATCATCATCATCATCATCACATCATCATCATCATCATCATCATCATCATCATCATCATCGTCATCAGCATGATCATCATCATCATCCTCCTCATGCTCATCATCATCATCATCATCATCATCAGCATCATCATCATCATCAGCATCAGCATCATCATCATCAT